TTACAAATTAAAGTTATACATATGTATAGATGTTTATTGTCTCAAAGATTAAATTGATTGAAGGGTAACAAATCTTTTATTTTGTTATGATGTTTGTACAAGATACAAGTGTTTATTAACAGTTGTTTATGCAAAATACTTCGAATCTGTTGGCCAGACACTATCAGCAACATTCTACTGTGATAAAAAAAACCAGATTCCAGCTGAGGAAGAAATCAGGAAGAAGTGCTGGAAGTGGATAGGTCACACATTAAGGAAAGCACCCAAATGAGTCACAGTGCAAGCCCTCACTTGAAATCCTGAAGATTGAAGAAGAGGAAGATTAAAGAACATATTAAGCCGAGAAATGGAGATAGACATGAGAAGAATGAACAACTATTGGATAGAAGTAGAAAGGAAAGCTCATGACAGAGTGAGTTAGAGAATGCTGGTCGGCGGCTTATGCTCCTTTGGAGGGTAACAGACGTAAGTAAGTAAGTATGTAAGTAAAGATCACTATCAATTCATTCAATCTTCGAATCAATATTTTAAAGAATTGCGACAAATAAATTGAATAGTTTTGTTTGATTCATTCTTAAGGACTTAATACATATTAATTAAAAATAAAATTAAAAAAAACACTCTGCATCATTGTACACCAATCAGAATATCTAATTTTATTGATTTTTAATCATATTGTTGATATTTTTGTTTTTGTTTTGTATATATATATATATATATATATATATATATATATATATATATATATTGATTTTTATATTTGATTCAAATTAAATAATTGATTTAATCAATATATACTTTAAAAATTATTGTTGCTAAGCGCTAAAAGGTAACATCGATAATAATGATAATAAGAGAAAAACAAAGCGGATAATTTTTCATTTGATTAATCAAAGAATTTATCACGTTTTTTATAAAGCGAATCATTCAATAGTAAGTATATTCAGATAATTTATTGTTTTTTTTCAATATCAATATAACTGTAAAAAAATTAGTGACAAACAGAAATTTATTAATTATCAGAAGGGTTTTTGTCGAGATTTAGTATGTTTCGTAGTTGAAAGCATGAGTCATTTGAAGCTAGATCACCATGGAAAACCTGGAAACACTGGACGGTCGTTTCGTTCTATTATGGGACTCCTCAGCAATGTGCACTCGCGAGATTTCAATACAGTACCTACCAGTCTCAAGCCAGAGACCTTAACCTATAGATCACTGAGCTGGCATTTAACGGTGTTAATGTCCGATTTCAATTGATCCACGAAGTTGAGCAACCATTCACCAATTGTCTTCAGTGAGTTCCTATCTCACAACAGACGTGGTTTGCACTCCACTGATAATTAATATAATCACATGCTCACTAGTGACTTCGGGAAGTACATCCAGGAGCTCTAGTGAGAAGCAATGACCAGTGAAATTTATTAATTATTTGTATTTCTAATGTGTAATGTCGGTTGATATGTTAAGTCCATATATCTTATTTCAGCGTCTGAACAAGCTAATTTACCTGTACATCTTGAGTCACGTCTTGACCTTGTTACTTACTTACTTACGCCTGTTACCCCTCGCGAACGAGCATAGGCTGCACACCAACATTCTCCATCCAACCTTGTTCTGGGCAATCCTTTCCAGTTCTTTCCAGTTAACATTCATTTTTTTCATATCTGCTTATATTTTACAAAGTAATGTGTTCTTCGGTCTTCCTCTTTTCTGCTTCCCTTCTGGACTCCAAGTTGGGGATTGCCTTGTGATGCAGTTTGGTGACTTCCTCAATGCATGTCTTATCGACTCTTAAATTCTTTTCCTAATTTCCTCTTCAGCTGGAAGCTGGTTTGTCCTCTCCCATAAAACGCTGTTGCTGATAGTATCCGGCCAGTGAATCTTGAGTATTTTGCGTGGACAACTTTTTACATATAATTTTACCTTTTTGACGATGGATTTAGTAGTTCCCACTTTTCAGCTCCATACAGTAGGACTGGACCTTGTTAATTATTCACTTATTAACCCTGATTGTTTTTATATGAGCCTATGTGTGTGTACATTTCTTATCATGTTTATCACATGTCGGTGATTTATCTTTTTCTGACTATAAATGTTGATTGACGCTTGATTAAAGTGAGTTGGTTTATCCGCCATCTCCAATGTGCATCATTTTCGCTGCGTTCTGCTGAGTGGGCTTACTCGCCATCTCCAATACGCGTCATCTTTGCTTTGCTCTCTTCTATTCAATTCATCCCTTCGATTTCCTGTTCAGATCAATAAATGTACAAAATATATGTATTCGAAATCCATTCTCGTATTTGACTTATGTAATTCCGTCATTCATCAATGCGGATTAAGTCATTTATTACATACGAGGAGAGGCAAGATGTATATTTTGACAACAATCATTCGTTTGATGTAACTAGAGTCAGATTTAGGCCTCACAAACGTATAGTATTTACTGAGTAATAAACAATTGATTCATCAAGATGAATAGAAATAAATAATGATGATCTTTCGAAAATCAGCAATTTTATATCAAAGTAAGTAGTTTATGTAGTTTATTTTTTTCTATGATGTTGCATTGTATGTATCCGGATGGTTTAAATGAGAAACTTTCATTATAATTATTGATAAGTTTATCGAATACTGACTCCAAAGAGATTCTTCGGAGAGTATCATATCTTTGCTTTGATCATCTAAGGTTACTTACACTATATTTTTACATCTTCATATAACCTTACTTTCTTATCGATTATTTCATTGGGTTGACTTTTAATTATGTGATAATGAATTGAAAAAGCTTGTATGGATAGGTAAATTGGAATGGTTTCAATATAGCTACTGATTAGGGATTCATCTAAGTATAACACTTCTAGAAATTCCTTAACATACTTAGATTTTCTTCAATCTAGAACTTTTATATTCTTGGATTTAAATTTGTGTCTATAGTTGCCTACGTCTACTAATATAGGCGATGATAGTAAGTGTCTCTTAACTGTTAATATATGTTCGGTACTGAGTAAATAGAAGTAATTTTTTCGTTTAATATGATGCTTCTTGCACTTAGAAGAATACATGTTGTACAGTCATCGTTTAATGATTTGTTCTTCTGTTTAACCTAACTGTTATATATTTATTTATGTTGGCTTCTGAGTAACACTAATTTCAGAAAGATTAAGAAAGCTTGACAATTGACATTCTAAGCTACAGCACAAAAAACCACCAAAAACAATTACATTAGCCTCAATTTTTCATTATTTCGAGAATGACTGATAGTTGATTTGATAAAAGTTAACTTTACATTTCACATTTCAAGAGGTTATATCGAGGCAATGAGCACAGTATGCACATATGACCATTAAGAGACTGACCATTTGCAATCCTAAACATCAATGGGAAGATTCAAACAAACAATACTAAGTGAACTCACATTTCAAGTTTTTACTGTCTTGAGAATAGTAAATAAAAGTTTTGTCTGTTTGATTTACAAACTATGAAAAGTGTAAATATATGTTCGGTTGTTTTCAGGAAACATAGAAACCGTTACGTAATTCTTCCAGACGATTAACTGAGTTATTAATTATTTGATTTCAGCATAATCACATGTGAAATTATGAGATCTACTGATCATATGAGTTAACATAGTTGAATTTAACGAAAATACACATATCTTAACAGTATTAAACAACTAAGGTGTATTACTTATTGTTCAGAGGAAATTATATTCATATGAATTTTAAGTCACGTCACAAAAAATAGTATCATTATAGTGTTGTGAAGATTGTTGAGTTTCAATTGATATCATGAATGGATGAATGTTAGACTACTATTGAAAACCTGGAATAACTGGACGACCGTTTCGTTCTAGTATGGGGCTCCTCAGGAGTGTGTATCTCCATTCATTCATTCATGATATCAATTGAAAATCTAGATGGGATTAACCGTTTTCATAAAAAGGGAGAAAGATTTTTATGTCAGTTTTTTCTATTCACAGTTATAAATAAGAAATTTTTCTTCAATAAAATTGATGTGATTTTCATTTATAGGTTATAGTGATAATCGAGTTAAGACAGTATTGCTTACGACATAATATTGAGATATGTCAAAATTAACTTCAGAGTAACTGACAAAGATAAATATTCTATTAATTTAATTACGTACTTATAGTGATTAGTGGATGGACAAATGTTTGAAGTCGATATTATTAAAGAGTGGTTTGTGGATATAATAAAATTTTCACAGTTTGAATCATGAATTGATCTTAACTAAGCCACCACTAAAAACCGGGAAGCACTGAACAACACAATACCATGAATTGATTGAAGTTAGATACATACATTATCAGTCGCTGAATCAAAAGTCCAGAGGTTAAGCATTCGTATACGAGCCTGAAAGTCCTGGTTTTAGATTTACGTTGATGGGATAACGTCTGAGGAGTCCTTTACTAGGGTAAAATATCTGTGCAGTGCTTTCTGATTGTCGATAATAGTCTAGTCAAGATAACTGCGTGATTCAAACTACAGAAATAATACAGATATATTAAAGTTAAAATTAAACTTTAGAAAATAAGTGATGGTATTAGGAGATGGTGAAAGCGTCTAATTATCTCAATTGTATTAGCACGATCAATTCTTATGATCTAAGTATCGAATAGTTTTGTAAAAAAAATTATGAAGCTTGTTAGTATTCGCTAAAAATATGAAAACGGATTGTTTTACAATTTATTGAACATACTATCGAATGACAAAATTTAGGTAATTCAATCATAAAATGATTCAGTCTGAAAACATGTTTCTACTTAATCAGAAAAGATATGTTTATGATTTTGAGATGTTGGAGAAGATTTGTAGCTCAGGTGGATGATTTTGATGGAGTTTTGTTCTCTGAGCCGGATGGTTTGGTCGTGGAGTTTTCATCGTTCTTCTGAACAACATCATCAGCACAAACTTCGGGTAAAAGTGCTGATGATGTCGTTCAGAAGAACGATGAAAACTCCACGAGAAAACCATCCAGCTCAGAGAACAAAACTCCATCAAAAATGTGTTCATGATAAATAGACATTTTTCTGTCTATAAAGATTCATACATGAGAATTTCAATCGATTGATTGGTCTTCTAAAATTATATGTATAAGTACCTTGTGTAAGCTTGGTAAATGATGTTGAAATCTAAGACTAATATTTCCCTTATTATAAGATTCAAAATTACACCATTGTACATGAACATTGAGGTAATAAAAGGACGTCCATAGACTTAATTTATGTGATGTCTTTCAGTTTGTTAAGTTTTAATATTAAGTAGCCAAGGCAACGATATATGGTTAAACACTTTAATATGTATATCTTACCATTGTTGAACACTTTTCAGTCATCAGATCAATATTTAAGGCTGAAAACAAACATGTGGTGAATGCACTATGATTTGTTTATGCATAAATTTATGAACGTTGGTTGGATTTTTATATGACTTGGATATTATCCGACATGGAAAAAATAAACGGCTGACTGAATCAAAAGTCATACGGTAGTTTAAGAAAATATGCTTCATATTGATTTGTATGTTGAATATTGGATATTATCTGATGATCCAACATTTTAATTTTATCTCAATAATTGATCAAGATTCAACACATTGACCACAGTGATTGAAATCATGAAACAAGGTGATTGAATGATAAAAGTTTGAAGAACTTTATAATAAACGAAATCCAGTTAAAACTTCCTAGTGTATTAGACAGATTTTTCCCTTGAACGTCTTGTATGAAATATAATTTATTTTCATTATTAGATTATTAGGTCAACAATGCCATCAGCGGTAATTGAAAGTTCGCGACATTTGATAAGCCGACCTTTATGGATAAAAGATCCTAATTATTTTGATTTACAAAGTTCAACGAGATCTGATTATTTATGGGATCCAAGAACTTCACGTAAAACTGAACCTGAAGGAATTCGTGCACGAAGTTTTAAACCAAAAGTAAGATAAAACACGAGAATATCTTTATATATATATAACACCCAGGTTATTGATCAATACTCTTTTTATCACTATAATATAAACTTACGAAATACTATAGATAATTTAAATTATCAGCAAAGCCTTTAAAACTTGAACAGTCCATTTTCTCATTTTTATCACTGTGCTACCGTTTTGTAAAATATAAAGACAAAGAGAATTTTCAATTGAATGCAAGTTAATACAATATGGTCAAATGATAATTATTTCTTAAACTGAACTTGTTAACTATAAAATGAATGTCGATGAAAAATATTATTACTATTATTATCGTTACTATTATTATCAATTCATCATTTCTGAAGCTCTTATAGATTTATGGCTTAAGAATTAAGGAATTTATTATTTAAAAGACAAATATTTGAACGAATTTATTATTTGAAGGGCTTTTTGTCGGGATTTCAGTAATTTTATAGTTGAAATCATGAGTCAATTGAAGATAGACCACCATGGAAAACCTGGAAGCACTGGACGACAGTTTTGTCCCATTGTGGGACTCCTCAGCAGTGCGCATCCACTGGTTCTACGAGATATTTCCCGCAGTTCTAGTGAGAAGCAGTGACCAGTGGAGATCAACCACGTCTGTTGTGAGATATCAACTCACTGAAGACATTGGTGGATGTGTCACTCAATTTCGTGGATCAGTTGAAGTTAGACAATAACATCGGTGGATGCCGGCCTGATCAGTGGTCTATCGGTTAAGTGCTCGCGCGCGAATCTGGAAGGTCCTGCGTTGGAATCTCGTGAGGTGGGATCGTGGATGAGCACTGCTGAGGAGTCACACAATATGATGAAACGGCCATCCGGTGCTTCTGGGTTTTCCATGATGTTCTAACTTCAATTGACTCATGATTTCAACTATAAAATTTAACATCTGACAATTTGTTTATATATTTGGTTAACTGAAATCATCCCCTCATAGTTTAGATAATGGTTTGTATAATTGTACATGATAAGTTAAGTGTAGATAGAGTTTTATATCCTTTAGTAGAAAATCCATTATTTTCATACTTTTACAATTTTTAACTGATAAGAACAACAATTTAATATAGACTAACAATAATAAGATACAATATATCACTATTTTTAATAAGCTATCTAATAGTTATCATTATCAAACTTTTTGAAATATGAAATACAGAGATTATAAAAAACCAAACCTTAGATTTCAACCAAATATTTATCAGGAGATAAACTCAATAACAAACTAACTGGCATTTATAAGAACAATTCTCATTGATGGTAAAGTGACCATTGAACAAGCAAGTGGCTATCAGGACTCAGTAACTGAGTAGATAAAGCGGTGGTGTTTGGAGCGAAAAGTACTGGGTTCGAGTCCCAGAGTGGACATCAACTCTGAGATGCAGGTACATCCATCTGACGAGTCACAAATAGGACGAAATGCGCGTCCTGAATTCCACTGCTATCCACTATCCATCATTGCTTACCATGACTATGGATTATGTTTAACACAAAAAAAGTCAATCCCATAGAGAAATTACGGTCAATGAAAAAAGTAAGGAGTGAGATTGAGTCTGTGATTCACGTATTACCAGTTGTTTAATTAATTGTAAGTTATTTGTAAAAATAGGATTTATTTTTAAAATGTCAGTAGTTGGAATATGAAAGCAAAATATTTGCATGAAAGATGTTAATTGACATGATATATATTCTTACAGTTAATGGTTATAAATTAAGATTCGACAGTTCAAGATGTTTGAATAGAATCGTCAGGAAACCATGGATCCAGGTTTCGTACTAGTTGACACTCGTCAGAGAGGCTTAACTACAATTACGAAAAGTTGATATTTCCTGTGTAATTCAAACTCAAATTAGACAGCCTTACATTTCAAAACGTTAACACTGAGCTACTCAGACCATAAACTTAGAACTAAGATATTTAAAACTGATTGGTCATTGAGCATTGACCACTCAATGTATCATCACAGTATTTGGGGTGTCAAGTCACATAAACTAGTGGCCATTTAATTGACGAAATCCCGTCACCATTCAATTACAAATCTCTGATATAGGTCTATGGCGAATCATGATTTATGATCTTCGTATACAAAGAGATGCTCATATTTTGTCGTTTTTGATAAACTATTCTTAATGATTTAACCTAACATGCATTATTATCTGTTAACAATACAAATAAGGTTTCAGCATACAAAAGTACAATTGATTGGGATTTAGGTGAGAAAATAAAATCTATCTCATGTGTACATACACAACTCAATCCAAATAAATATCAGAATCATAGTTATTCGTTGACTAGTTTATTAGATCAACAACCAAGAGATTGGCTTATTGATGATTATGATTCAAAACACAAAGGATGGAGACGAACAAATCAGATAGTAAGAAATAAAGAATCATTTACAGAAAATTCATTATATCGTGAACAGTTCCCACCAAAGGAAGCTGGTAAGCAGATAGTAAATATTATCAACATTATTTTTTATTTCCACAATACTACTTACTTGAACAAATTTTTTGATAAGTATCAAGGATGCTTTTAAGTAATTTAAGGGAATTAATTTAATTTTTAGAAAATTTTTATCACAAATAATCACTGTTAATGAGTGATACATAATGACAAGACATATATTCAGTTCTCTACGTATTTTGATGGTTTACCAACGAAAGATTTGGACTCTTTTCATTTAAAGTTTTATACTTTCGGTTTTTCTTTTAATTTGTTGAGTTAAACTAGGTCTATGGACATATTGATGAAACGTTTATGAAATTTATACTTGTTCTTATTTATACTAATTCTATGAATATCGTTTCAAGATAGTGAATGACGTATATTTTATGTGTTAATCAGTTAAGAATAATTTTAATTTGTAAACAAAGATGGATAGTGGATAGCAGTGGAATTCAGGACGCGCGTTTCGTCCTATTTGTGACTCGTCAGCTGGATGCACCTGCATCTCAGAGTTGATGTCCACTCTGGGACTCGAACCCAGTACTTTTCGCTCCAAACACCACCGCTTTATCTACTCAGCTACTGAGTCCTGATAGCCACTTGCTTGTGCAATGGGATGAAGTTTAAATTCAATTAGTATTGTTTGTTTGAATCTTCCCATTGATGTTTAGGACTGCAACTGGTCAGTCTTTAATTGGATTCCACTGCTAGCCACTATCCATCTTTGTTTACAACGCTTGTGAATGAAAACTATATCGAGGCAATACGCACAGTATGCACATATGCCAATTAGAGACTGACCAGTTGCAGTCCTAAAACATCAATGGGAAGATTCAAACAAACAATACTAAGTGAATTTTAATTTGGTTTTGTTTAATTAAGACAGAACCAAAAGTGTAAGTTACAGTAAGAAACAGTTTACAAGAATATCTTTTTATTAGAAAGTGATGAAAATAGTCTGTTATTAAACAATAGTTTCAAACTTGTGGTCGAAATGGCTTCAAAAAGAGAAGAATTCTATCATTACATGAATATTATAGTTAATGAACAAATGATCTATTACTTATCATATTGTTGGTCGTTCGATATTTATATATCACTGGTTGATTTATAGTTATGAATTATGATATTTACAACAAAATAAACTGACTAATATTTGAACGAAGAATATTCTTTTCGATAAATTCTCTTCAGGTTCTACAATTATATATCCAAATTAATAATCCGAAAAATTGGCCAGGTTAAAGGCCAATATATGATTGGGATTTTTAAACGATTAAAATAAACTGACTAAAACTGGAAGATTTAGACAACTTTTCTACAGTTATAATAAACAGTTAGTTTGATCAGAGCAGGAACTTCTCGTTAGTAGCCAACTTAATTGAAAACAAGAATAAGAACAAAGTAGTTGTTGAATCACATTTTTTTTGGAACTTTCATTTCAATCTGTCTACAATCAATTAGATAATAGACTGACTATTTAAAATATACAGAGTACTATTCAACGACAATACTGAATAATGAATCAAGGTATTTATGTATTTGAATGTGTTGAAAACAAAAACTGAATCTCCCTATTATATTTTTAATTAATTCCTGATTGAATATTTCATCTCAGTTAGGAAATTGCAACTCACTGAACAAACTAATAATCGAGCGAATTAATTTGTTTCCAGTGTTCGATTCACCAACTCCGCCTGTAGCTCTTCTAGAGTTACTGCCGGTCCCAAGCCCGGGTAAAGGAGGAGGGTTGGGCATGGGGTTAGCGACCCCATCCCGTAGAAAAGCTAACTCGCTAAAAAAACGCTAACCAGAAAAAATAATCCAAACCATTTAAACTCTGCCCTGGGAGTTGAAGGAATAATGACGTCTCATGATGAAAGCCGAAATTCTTCGGAAGTCACGAGACCGATGCACCTTCTAACAACCAGAGCAACACTCTTTATAGGTACATGGAATGTCCGGACGATGTGGGAAACAGGAAAGACCAGCCAAATAGCAATGGAAATGAGGAGATACAACTTGGCAGTACTCGGAATCAGCGAATCCCATTGGACACAAACTGGACAACAAAGGCTAGGTACAGGAGAGATGCTGCTGTACTCCGGTCACGAAGGGGAAAATGCGCCACACACTCAGGGAGTTGCTCTAATGCTGTCCAGAGAAGCACGAAATGCACTTGTGTGATGGGAATCTCATGGACCCAGGATAATCAAAGCATCATTCAGAACAAAGAAGCAAGGGATCACAATGAATGTTATCCAATGTTATGCACCCACCAATGATAGCAACGACGATGATAAAGATCAGTTCTATGAAAGGCTGCAATCAATTATAGCAAAGTGCTCACGAAAGGACCTCACCATCCTTGTGGGAGATCTAAATGCTAAAGTTGGAGTGGACAACACAGGATATGAAAATGTAATTGGACGACATGGACTAGGAGAGAGAAATGAAAATGGGGAGAGACTTGAAAACCTATGTGCTTTCAACAAATTGGTTATAGGCGGCACAATATTCCCACACAAACGCATACACACAGCTACATGGATCTCACCGGACCACACCACAGAGAACCAGATTGATCACATCTGTATCAACAAAAAATTCCGAAGATCAATGGAAGATGTGAGAACCCGGAGAGGAGCTGACATAGCTTCAGATCACCACCTGGTTGTGGCCAAGATGAGACTGAAGCTAAAGAAAGACTGGACAACTGGACAAACAGCACTACAAAGCTTCAATACAGCCTTCCTTCGAGATACTGACAAACTCCATGAATTCAAGATAACTCTCAACAACAGGTTCCAAGCTCTACAGGATCTACTGAAAGAACAAGAAACTACTTTGGAGGACAACTGGAAAGGGATAAAAGAAGTACTAACTTCAACGTGTCAGCAGGTTCTTGGTCCTAAGAAGCACCATCACAAGGAATGGATCTCTATGGGGACCCTGGACAAACTTCAAGAAAGGAAGAACAAGAAACTAGCAATTAACAACAGCCGAACACGAGCAGAGAAAGTCAAAGCACAAGCAGACTACGCAGAAGTAAACAGAGAAGTGAAGAAAAGCATTAAAGCCGACAAGCAGAAATACATAGGAGAACTAGCAACGGCGGCGGAAGAAGCTGCAAGAGAAGGGAATATGAAACAACTATATGATACAACGAAGAAATTGGCCGGGAGATATAGCAAACCAGAGAGACCAGTCAAAGACAAAGAAGGAAAGACAATCACTGAGATTCAGGAACAGAGGAAAAGATGAGCAGAATACTTTGAGGAACTGCTGAATAAACCAGCCCCATTGAATCCACCGAACATCGAAGCAGCCCACACTGACCTTCCAATAGATGTCACTCCACCAACGATCGAAGAAGTCAAGATGGCCATCAGACAAATCAAAAGTGGGAAGGCGGCAGGACCTGACAATATACCAGCAGAAGCACTGAAGTCAGACATTGAAATAACTGCAAACATGCTTCACCTTCTATTCAAAAAGATTTGGGAAGAGGAACAAGTGCCAATGGACTGGAAAGAAGGATATCTCATCAAGATACCAAATAAAGGAGATCTGAGCCAATGTGAGAACTACAGAGGCATCAGTTTGTTATCAGTACCAGGAAACGTTTTCAACAGAGTGCTGCTGAATCGGATGAAAGACGCAGTAGACGCCGAACTTAGGGATCATCAGGCTGGATTCCGTAAGGATAGGTCGTGCACAGACCAGATTGCGACACTACGGATCATCGTTGAACAATCAGTTGAGTGGAACTCATCACTATACGTCAACTTCATTGACTATGAGAAGGCGTTTGACAGCGTGGATAGGAGAACATTGTGGAAACTTCTTCGACACTATGGAGTTCCTCAGAAGATCGTCAACATTATCCAAAACTCATACGATGGATTACAGTGCAAAGTGGTGCATGGAGGACAGCTGACAGATGCATTTCCAGTAAGGACCGGAGTCAGACAAGGCTGTCTACTCTCCCCATTCCTCTTCCTTCTTGCGATTTACTGGATTATGAAGAATTCGACATCTGAAGGGAAATACGGAATACAATGGACTTCTCAGAATCAATTAGATGATTTGGACTTCGCAGATGACCTAGCCCTCCTCTCTCATACACACGACCAAATGCAGATGAAGACAGCAAATGTAGCAGCAGCCTCCGCATCGATAGGTCTCCACATTCACAAAGGAAGAAGCAAGATTCTCAAATGCAACACGGAGAACACCAACCCAATCACACTTGATGACGAAACTCTGGAAGAGGTGGAAACATTCAAGTACCTGGGGAGCATCGTTGATAAACAAGGAGGATCGGATGCAGATGTAAAGACAAGGATTGGCAAAGCAAGGGCAGCATTTCTACAATTGCAGAACATATGGAACTCAAAACAACTCTCAACCAATTTCAAGGTCAGAATCTTTAATACGAACGTCAAGACAGTCCTACTGTATGGAGCTGAAACATGGAGAACTACTACGGCCATCATCAGGAAAGTACAAGTATTTATAAACAGTTGTCTACGCAAAATACTCAACATCCATTGGCCAGATACTATCAGCAACAGCGTTTTATGGGAGAGGACAAACCAGCTTCCAGCTGAAGAGGAAATTAGGAAAAGACGTTGGGAGTGGATCGGACATACATTAAGGAAATCACCAATGTGCATCACGACTCAATCCCCAACTTGGAATCCGGAAGGGAAGCGGAAGAGAGGAAGGCCAAAGAACACACTACGCTGGGAAATAGAAGCCGATATGAAAAAGATGAATAGCAACTGGAAAGAACTGGAAAGGAAGGCTCAGGACAGAGTTGGATGGAGAATGCTGGTGAGCGGCCTATGCTCCTCGACGAGGGGTAACAGGCGTAAGTAAGTAAGAAGTTCAATTCACCATTACAGTGTTTTTTTATATAAGTTACTTACGCCTGTTACCCCCCAATGGAGCAAAAGCTGCCCACCAGCATTCTCCAACTCACTCTGTCCTAGGCTTTCCTTTCGAGATATATCCAGTTGTTGATCACTCTCACCATAGCTGTCACCATTTCTCGGAGTAATGTGTTCTTTGGTCTTTCTCTACTCCTTTGGTCATCAAGATTCCGTGTGAGGACTTGCCTTGTGACTCGGGTGCCTTCCTCAATGTGTGTCCTATCCACTTACAGCACTTCTTCCTGATTTCTTCCTCCATTGGAATCTGGATTTTTCTCTCCCATTGTAGGTTTTCGTTGATAGTGTCTGGTTTAACGGATCCGAAGTATTTTGCGTAGACATTTTCATTTCATGGTAAGAATCGTATGTTCAGTGCTCCAAAGTCTTTACTAGTTTATTTATTAGACAATTTGAAATTTGATTTCAAAGAAAGGATTTGAGATCAAGGGATAATGTCATTAATCTACACGATTCTAGATCAAATTCTGGAGGAAATTATCAAAGGATTCTTGATCAGTATCAACATACTTTTATTCAGTTTCATAGAAAGTTAATTCATATAGTAATGTAACTTATTGAATGAATACATTTCTTATTTATATTACAGATCATGTACAACCGGTAAAACCTGTTCATATACCATTAAAAACTTCAGAGAAATTTACTGATAAATCTGTTTATACTGATGAATATATATGGCGACCAATAATAATAGACTATAATCAGTCAAAACATCATAAACTTCGTCTTCCTATTGAAATGATCCCTTCAAAGCCCAGGGATGAATCAAATATGATAAGTATTGGCGAAAATGTCATGTCAACGCTTGGTACCAGTCCAAAGTTATTTAAAAATACAACTTACAGAGAGGATTTTCAAAGACATGCATTGACTAGTAAAGAACCAGTTATGTGTAGGAAAATTGCACCTGCAATCAAATTATCTAAAGTAAGGGATGTGTTATATTGACAAGTTAAATATAAGAGCAATAATGAATAATCGTTTTTTTTTGAAAACATGACATCACTTTCTCTAGTGAGATATTTAGTTATGAAACCGGTCAATATGACCTTTCCTAAAAATAATAGACTTAAATAGTTTTAGTAATCAGTATCATGGAGAAGTGAATAAAACCTTTTGGAGCTCTTCAGCATTGAACTCATTATAGAAATAATGAAGACCCAATACAAATTTATAGATCTCATGGCTATCATCTTACTGTTAAAGTATCAATTTTACCATGAAAATGAAGTCAAATCTTTCCAAACCTACTATATCAGCGACATTTGAAACATTTCTATAATTCGTAATAGAAATAGTATATTTGTGGAATCTCAATGAGTAAAATGCTGACGTTTTGAGACTTAGCGTAAATCACTTCCTTAATCAATAAAAATAAGTAAACTGATTAAACTAACGCAAGCTTAAAAATTACAAAGCGAACAAACGAAATATATTTAGTATAGAAAAAATTATAATGAGGGCTTTATGCACCCAAACAAACAGAGTGGTGATAGGATCTTCTGTGTTTCTGATTGTCGTTAATCTGTTTATGTCCCATATGGAATAGCATATTTTTACCAGAGCCCTCAGACGAAAAATTTTGTTCAGATATAAGAAAAACTATCCTAAGAAACTTTTCTAAACTGCTGAATAGTTTCTCAGTTCACATCAAATTTACTTTTAGAAGTAAAAAAAATAACTTAGGGGTCTATCATCTTCAGACTATTTAGTCAAAAGAATAAAAATAGAAATCTAAGCTCAATCATATATCTCTAGTTGACACAAATAAATACATTAGTATCAACTGAGCACATCCACTGAATGCAAACATTCTTTTGGCTTTAAATCTATTCAGACGAACTTCAATGATTATCACATCAAATGAAGAGAAACGGAAAAACAGAAAAATGTAATTTGCAACTTAAAATTTAGTAACTTTCCCATTAATATTGAGTATATATATAGGTCTTCAGTGGTTGTCTAAATCTGATTGATTCGCGGTTTCAATGAAATTCAACAGTCTCTACAATCATATACGAATTATTTTCTGTCTATTCATTATGTTACTTTCATCATATTTTCTTTATTTCCTTAAGGTATTAAAACCCCCATATGAAATTCAAGAATCATATTCTACTATAAATTCAAGATATCAATATGATTATGCTAGCTCAATAAAACATCGTCATTTATCTAATTGTTTACCTGCCGCTGGAATTACAACATCTGGTGGACCTATTAAAAATCAAAATCAAACTTATTCATTTGATTATGAAAATTATCCTTTATTTATCAAAGAGAAATCGAACATTCAAGAAAAATCCATCGAGGAATCCGATTCGAATATAAATTTATCACAACGACTGTATTTACCAGATATCATTGAACAAGTAGAAAATAAATGGCCATATTTAGAACATAAAAAAGGATGTTTCTATACAACTAGACCATTAGAAGGAAGTTTTTAAGGATGATTATTATTGTATTTTATTTCTATAACATTTTCTAATACAAATGTTTATATTCTAAATAGAGAAATAAAAATGATCGATCTATTCATCAGTTAAATATAATTATTACTTACTAAGCTACGAATCGTTTTCTCTAGCCGGCCTACCCATTCTGAGGTGTGTTAAAGATAAACTTTCGCTTTGGGTCACATCAATGTGTATCGATAAATTTACTTGCTCATGTGGGTCATGTTACATAGGCCGCACAAAGCGATCACTTTTACAAACGCATCTCGGAACACTATCCGGCTTGGCTCCTAAAAGGAGAATGTAAAAAGATAAATAGTTTGATACAAGAGCATTTAATCAACTGTTACTTAGTGATTATTATTTTTTTAAATTTAAGTAAGAACAGGCAATATTTAGACTCAGTATTGTTATAAAAGTAGGTTACTTGTTATAACGCTAAGGTTTCTTTGTTATAACAGTCCTTTCACTTTTTACACGTATTTGGAACGTTAATTTACCTTAGACGAATATTTACACTAGATTCTTTATCAGTGTCTATTCTATAGAACTTCAACACAACTCAGATCAAAAACATGAGATTAGTGTGACTAGAATGTCAATATATTTCCTCACCAAAACCCGACACAATCCAACAATAAGGACAGCTAATCAATAATAATAAGGATAGAGTAATATATAACACCTATCACACTATTTACCTGTCTGACTCAGAATAACAACCAATCATTATCATTCTCGCCTACACATCAAGTGTGTATTAAAGTAAATAAGTAAATGATTTCATAAAATGATTCCTGGTGAATAAATTTGAAACAATGCGATTTGAGAATACATTTACATGAATAATCTTACTTGACAAACTGATCTCATTTGAATATTTTGCATAAAGATGATAAATGACTTGGGGATGATAAAAAGAAGCAAGATAAGTGACTAAATCAACAAAGAAAAATAAACTGGAGTTAGTAGCAAAATGCAATACAAAGAATAACACTTTAGGTTCAAAACTAAATGTTCAAAGTAATAATAATAATAATAACAAATAGACTTTAAGTGCTCAAAGATTGTAAAGTCTCGAAAAACATGAGTATTTGGTTTCGTCCTATCTCATAGATAAGAATGAAAAACTTAATTAGATAGATATAGTTAGTCAGGATCCGTGAACAATAAAACTGATGAATCAGTAAAAAGTCGTAGGAATATTGAAAATAAAAATAATGAGAGTAAAGTAGAATAGTAAAAGGATAATAATCATGTCTATCCTAATTAGCCTGAAAAAAATTAATTATTGTTGAGACCCAGTAGTTGGTAAAGGAAATCGAATAAAAAGAGATTGAACAACTGAATTTTATGCGGATAAGTTTGATCGAAAAATTTCACTGGCTATCGCCTCAGCTTTGTTTAATGAATAGAGACATACAAACTTAAAAGGTTAATTGAAAATCTGTAAATAATATGAAATGCTGAGGTACTATCAATTTTGTGTTCTTTATACACTAAAAGGGGAAACATAAGGCAATTAATTGATTTGTTCGGTTACTTACTTACGAATGTTACTTCTCATGGTGATCCATAGGCAGTTCACCAACATTATCCAACCAACTCTGTCCTACGCTTCCCTTTCCAGATGTTTGTAAGTGCTTTTCATTCTCTTCATGTCTGCCTCCAAATTTTTTGTGCCTTGAGGATCCTAAGTTATAGGCTAGCCTCGTGATGAGGCCTGATGATTTCCGAAACGTACGTTCTATCCACCTTCGGTGTTTTTTCTTAATTTACTCTTCAGATGGAGTTTGGTTTAATCTCTTTCGCAGTAAGTACCATCGAGTTCTATTTACTCACTTATTTAGCTACCCGATTTTTCCTTTCAGTTTCATATTGTTCAGACATTCCATGTACCTATGTTAATTGTTGCTCCGACTGTTAGAGTGGACATCAAACTCGTGAATTCCGAAGAACCTCGAATTTCATCATGAAGCGTCATAATTCTTTTAAATAAAGATCCTTCAACTCTCATGGTTGAGTGTACATAGTTCATATGATTTTTTCTGGTTAATGTTTTGTTAGCGAAAATATTTTCTACGAGTTGGAGTAGCTGATCTCATCCCAAACCTTCCTGATTTATCTAAGTTTGCCAGCGGCAGTAACCGATTGATTTGTTTGGCGCCTTGCGTACTTGTCTAAAACAATGCTCCGGAAAGCGACGGTGGTCTTGGTGATTCGTTGGGCCTACCTACTTACCCTCATGAAATGACTTAAATTGTCGTATTGCTTATAATCAGATGATACAGATAGATGTCAGAAATAAATTTTAGTAAATCAGTTTACTACTTGTAAGTAATAAAAGCTAAATAAATAAATGGTCTTCTATTCAGCTGAGCGCTTTAGTGATAGTATCAAAAAGGGACTTAGAAATTTATGCCCAATAACTTAACGAAAAAAATCAAAAAAACAATTATAGATCATTATTAGGAGAAAATCAAAATGAAAAGAGTCTCTGTTATTAAAGATAGCTGTGAAAATTAAGTAATTTCATGATGTATTGTTGTTTAAAATTCAAAACAGAAACGAGAAAATGCTCACAGAAATATTATCCAGCTAAAAGTGAGCACAAAGTAATCTTAGTTGAAATTAACAATTATGAAAATAAATATGGGTTATGTATTGAAGTAACTCCAAATGCCTCTCAGAAACGAAATTCTAAGTTATTATTTAATTAGTTTTTCAAATTCAATTGGTATCATTTATTTGTATTTTCCCATTGATGCTTAGAACTGCACTTGATCAGTCTATTATTAGCATATGTGGATCCTGTGTGGACTACCTTGACATTAACTCAACTCACAGGCTTTATAGGCAAAGATGGACGATGGATAGCACTGGAATCTAGGAAGCGCGTTTCGTCCTATTTGGGGTTTGTCAGCTGGATGTACTTGAATCTTAAAGTTGATTTTTACACCGGGATTCGAACCCAGTATTGTTTTCCCTAAATTAAATTGCATTATTCACTTAGCTGAGTTCTGTATATGTATTTTTAAAAGTCTCAAACAGTCAGGTAGTTCCTACTACCATAAAGCCGGACAAATTTATTATCTTGCAAATTTAACAGAGATGTACTTGATTTTAAAAATTAGAAATGCATGTAATCAGGTGAGTTATAACGTTCTGAAATTAACGTGCACAATTTTTAAGAATTAAATAAATAAATAAATATTGAATAATCATGACATCTGCTTCAGTAACAACCACTCTAACAGGAAACATTCATTAATGTCCCATTATATTTAAAATTGATGAATAATACGATTTTATTCTATCAGCAACAAGTTACTGTGGGAGACAACAAACCAGATTCCAGCGGAGGAAGAAATCAGGAAGAAGTCCTGGAAGTGGATAGGGCACACTTTGAGGAAATCACCCAAGTGAGTCACAAGGCAAGTCCTCACATGGAATCCTGAAGGTCAAAGGAGAAGAGGAAGATCAAAGAACACATTACGATGAGAAATAGAGACAGACATGAGAAAAATGGAAAAAAGTTGGATAGAACTAGAAAAGAAGGCCCAGGACAGAGTGGGTTGGAGAATGCTGGTCGGCGGCCTATGCTCCATTTGAAGTAACAGGCGTAAGTAAGTAAGTAAGTAAGCAACGATTTTATTCTGAGATTTGAATAATGTCTCAGATTTCAGTGAAACAATCAATGTTCATTAGAATTTAATACAAGAAGTGAAACATTAGATGAAATGTATTTTCCGGGTTTCACTTCTTGTTAGCATTGATAATTTTATCAAGATAAATAAATTAATTATCAACTGTTAAAACGTTTAGTTAAATCGAGTTGACTAACTCGCCTTCTCCAATGCGCGTTAATTTGTTTTGTTTCTCTTTCTTATCAACTATTGTACGAAATATACTTACTCAAAATTCCATTCTCGCAAGTTAAGTCGATGATGATATGCGAGGATTAGTGGCATGTATATTTCTATAGTAATCATTCGACAATGATCATTCGTTCAATCTAACTGAAGTCAGATATTTCAGGGTCACTAAACTAGGGAATAATGCATATAGTATCTGTGTATAGATTTTATAGATAAAAAAATATTTCAATAGTTGAATTCATAAGTCGACTTAAGCTAGACCACCATTGAATTCCATCTGAAATTAGTAACTGCAAAAATTGTACTTAAAAGTTGAACTTTATTTGTAATGAATTGCATTCACCAATTAAACAGTTTTTTAACTGAACTTTATTGCTTTTAACAGTATATATCATTGCTTGTTTAAAATGTATTTCCGAAAAAAAAACATTTAACTGATTCAGTGAAATAGTTTGATTGAAGTAATTTTGAGAATATCAGATTTGATAAAGGGAAAACTAAAAACGATTCATGAATTAATTTAACAAATGAGTAAAGCCAATTTTTCCTTTGATGAATAACTTGGAATGTATGTTTACATGACCAAATTTACCTATTTCTTTTAATTTGAGGTGAATAGATGAGAATGTGAAATTTTTGAAGCTACTCTCAAAAGCTACAGTTTACTTATTTTTAATGCGTATTCATTAAATAATCAGTTTGTATCATTGGTCAGCTTCTCAATAAAACTGTCTTAGTATTACACTTATTGTAACTGTGGCTTATGGTGTGTAGTAAGCTTGTATTTTGCACAAACTTCTATAATGTAGAAGAATGCAAGGTATCTAGTCTTCCTAGTGTTCTGACTGACAGGTTGGGAAAACAGTAGGAATTTTGCATTGAGTATAAACATTAGCTGAATTAGCTGACTCATTATTAATGGACAAAAATACCAATCCGTAGTTTTATACTACTTTGATATTGTTGAATATGAAATCAAATCTATTATTTTTAAGTCTCACCATCAACCTGAGGTAGGAAATATAAATTATCGCATTTTTACTCAATGGTCAGATATGATTGTAATCATTAAGAAACGAAGTTTTTAGTCCAGTCTTCAACAGAGTCGTGGTGGAATACGGCAGTCTTTTTCATACATCTTATCTTAACTTTAGTCATTTAAATAAGACAATTCAACAATGGTTTGTTAATTGTATTGTATTAGAAAAATATTTATATTCATGTAATTGAAA